ACTTAGCCGGTTGGGACAGCAAGTGTACCATAGCCGTCGCAAAGGGCACAGGGGAGCAAAGGCTCTGAGAACAAATGGCTGAACTTGCATCGCATGTTGTTTGGGATCGGTTGCATCGACCTTCTTTGCATGTTGCTTCACTTGGCTTCTGGCTTGTCTCGGTGTTCCTCTTTGATTCTCATTTCATTACCACAACAGTGCGGCATCCCATATCTGATACTTGCCCTACGGCTCCAGCAGACACTAAACTGCTTTAGTTCGGGCCGAACCACAACGCGGACTACCACCGTCGCCGGCTGAGCAAGGGGTGCACGTTGCCATGTCATGATGAGAACCAGGCGTTGAGTTGGCTAGCTTTGCGGTTTTGGGGACCTTTCATAACACATAGTGCTGAACCCCTTTTTGAACGAGACCCAACCAGACTTCACAGCTCTTGGCTCAACATCCCAGTAGCCTATCCTGCACCCATGTTTGGAAAGTGCTGAGGTCCCCCTTTCTCAGTGGGTGGAATGCCACGATGCAGGTGCATCGGCTGGAGCTTGGCCATTGCGGGTGAACAACATTCATGAACTCCATCTAAAACCAGGCTACTTCCACTGATAGCGCTGCTGGTCCTGGACTCGGTTGGAATGTGTTGGGAAAGCGACGTCAAGTAAGCTCAGTCGCTCAGATATCCCAGACCAGCAAGTACTGCGAGAGCTGTTCATGCTGTTTTGGCCAGCGCTTGCACATATCATGAGATCATAAGTCGCACCGCCTGGATAGTCGTCAGCGCTTCGTGCGTACGCCGCAGGTGTTTGTACGTCGCAAACAAGTTGCGGAATTTGACACGCAGATAGCGTCGTTTCTAGCTCGTGGCATGCGCACGACTCAAAGCAATCTTAGCGGGTTCTAGTTGCAAGTCCCAAATTGTGTCTTGCAGGTCTTTGCATCTGCGGCGGTACATATATAATTTGTAGTACTCAAGTTATTTGACTGTTATACAGCATTGTGTCTTCACATTGGATACCGCCTCAAAGCAGTTAACTAGTTAACTACAATGTACTTCGTTACGCTCGTTCGAACTGGGGTCGCAGCCGCTCTGCAGAACAGGAATATCGTTCTCACGTGTTACTCGTCAAGCTGCCGCTCACAAGCATGGAGTGAGTCAGGGCACTCGCGGGCTTCCCACAGGCAAAGAGCTTCCCACGGGGCCGACTCCGCGATCCCAAAAATGCACAACAAACTTAGGGTTTAAGGCTTAGGGTTTAGGGTTTAGGGTTTAGGGTTCAATTAGCAGGCTATTGCCGGAAGTGGGGGCACCGGTGGCACCAGGTTTGGCTGGGAGACTGCTTGGCAGCATGTCCAAGACCATGTCACCTCAAAAAGCATGCTTCACAGTGCCCATTTCAGAAGGGGAAGTTTGCTTCAGGTCATTTCCGATGGAATTCTCCCACATGTAGTTGTTTAAAATGTAAGCTGTGGCTTCGGGGAGCTTCATGAGCCCTCAAGATCTGCCAGGCATGGAACCTTTGGAGCCTCAGCCGAACGTGACGCTGCCGAGTTTCAGCGCGGGGCTGCAACTCAGCAACTCGGCGAGGGCGCCCTTTGTGTAGGCGTGGGACGTAGAAGACACAGCTATTATAATCGCATGTGGATATTGTTTGCGAGTGTTTCTGTGGTGCAGAAACGCCGAGACATGATAATGCCAGGTGCACCAGCGATGCACCGACCACAGCCAGCATTGCAGTCCAGTCCTCGGTTCCTCAGTTCCGCTTCGACTTGGTGGTAGGCGTAGTTGTGTGAAAATGGGCGGGGGGGAGAAAGGGGGGGGGGGGGGGGGCGGGACGCGCAATAAAATAAGGCACCGGTTTGAAAAAGACCTTCTTTTAAAATGCTAAGGATGTTCAGAAACTCGGGTCGTTTGACTGGGTTCAATACCAGACCAAATCCAAACATTCAGCCGAGACTGTGCCAACAAAACTCACATTCGCTCGGGCTTCGTCGGGCTTCGTCGCTCAGCTCGCAATCTTGAACACACAGCTGTCGCATGCAGCCATCGGTTTCACTTGGATTGACGAGCTTTAGCACAGCGCCTTCAGGACGCTCTGTTGCGACGGGGCGGGCGCCGCTTCTTCACCAAGCGGCTCAGGGTTTCATCCTGAGAGGGTACGCCGGACGCCGCCGCTTTTTGAAGTTGTCGTGGCTTTTTATGTGACTCAGAAAGACCCAGTTTACATGGTTCCTCGATTGTCGCCCAAGGATGCGCGCCAAGGAGATGACGATGAGGAGCCGTATGAGCCGTGCATGTCGCGGGGGCAGACATGCCACACATTCATACACATTGCCCTCCCTTGACTCATTTACACATGTACCACTCTTTTTTTCCGAGTCTTTGCTTCTCCAGCACTCAGGGTTTCGCTGAGCATGTTGAAAATCGTCCGATGCGTCCCTCAACCCAAAAGCCTCCCTGGCCTCCACAGCTTGCTGAGACCAGGATCAGCGGCGCAAGCGCTTGCACCGAGTCTCACGGCGCCGCGGTGGTCACCGCCTTCGCTCGCGGATGCGACGTGCCATGCTGAGAAATTACCTAATGTCGAAGGTACAGTCACAAATTGACTAGGGCTGATCCAGTATGATTCCAGACGGTTTTCAACGGCAAGAGGGATCCACATCATGTGTTGCATTGCTTTCTGTCTCGGTTGCAGCGATCACTCCGAATCTCACTCTGTGATGTTCTGGATGGTTCTGACATCCGCAGGTAGTAGACATTGACTTTGACGCTTGATCCCCGCCCCGGAGAAGGTGTGGCTTGCGAGGTGTTACCGCCACTGTCTCGACAATGAGCACAGGATTTGTAGCGTCACCTCGTGGCGAAATACTCAAAATTTTCAAAAGCGCGCTGAGCTGAACAAGGGCGTTGTTGTTTAGCAGCCGAGCGCAATGACGTGCAATGAGGCAGGAGCCTAGTCAATGTAAATTCGCTATCGCCAGCATCGAGCATTGGCGACCAGATGCTGTAAGGCTGACATCTATGTACGATTTCCGTTTTTGAGCCGACACATATGCGTCTGTAAGGCGCGCTCAGCTCCTTGCGCCTCCAAGCCAGAATTCGGGCATGGCACAGGGCCGTTGTGCCGTGACAAGCGCTTTGTCTTTACGCTTGCCTTCGGGTGTTGCCGGTTTCTCCGGCCGAACTTCGACAACCCCGGGAACAGCTTCCGTGATAGCTTAGATTAGCAAGCACGCGGAGAAAGCCCAAGGAAGCAGTGCGAGGTGAATCTTGGTTGCCAATGTTTTTTGACACACCCACACACAAAGGTCAGCTTGGGTCGTGCATGAACCACACATTTTGCCTCCGCCAGTCTGCAAGTACAGCAATACATCATGGCAATCAGATACAGTACAGTTCATCGTCCGCCTACTCGACATCGCCAGCTAGTACACTTGAGAGGGACGTTTGTGCTGAGCCTTCACCTTAGCAGTGCGCCTGCCCCGGCGATGGTGTCACTCGGCTTCACATTGATACAGAGTGAACTCATCCAGAAGAACAAGAAGCGTGTTTACCTCACCTCCAGTCCAGTGCATTGGCGAAGTTGCCAACCATGACTTGAGCTCGTGGTGCAACACTGCCTGTTCACGGATGAGTCCGTCAGACTCAGCTTCCTGAAACACAAGCCGCCCTTGTTGAATCTTGCGCCTTTCTAAGGAAGGAGGCTTGGATACCGCCCTACGACGAATGGGCCAAAGAAGCAGAGCTGACATTCTGGTCTTTCGCTTAGTTTTAGGTGTGTCTACCAGAAGGAGCAAGAGGCTTACGCTGGTTCAGCATTCGTTGTCGCTGCACGAGCTCCTGCCAATATGCTACCTGAATTGCATGGTCCAACCCGCGACGGTTCTGGGACAATCCAACGTTCATTTTTCATTGTCTCTGATTGTAGCAAACATTTGCAAAGTCGCTGAGTCCCTGTCACATTCGCAGAGCATCTGCCACTAGCATCCTTCGCAGTAAGTGGGCCGTGCCTTGAGCGCCGTCCCGTTTCGCAGTCGTTGACGCTCTTGAGGTTTGGAAAGTGGCGGGATCCCAAGTCGCAGCTTGGTTTTGAGTTCCTCTACGAGGCGAACGCTGGGCAGACACGGGTACACTCCCGTTCGCCGTCGCGAACCACAAGAATCAAACAGAAGAACCGAAGAAACACTGAAGCATACTGAAGCCATCACAGCACTTATATCCAATCGTATTCAGAGCATGTCGGGACTGTCTTGGATCACGTTGGTGTTGGATGCCTGTGTGCTGTGACGGGTAAGATTCTGCGCAGCAAGTTCGCCACGTTTCGCAGACAGATGGGACTTTTTTCCATGCAGTTGTTGTAGGATCCCTTGACCCGAAGCGTGGCTTCACAGGATGCTTCCTTAGCTGCATGTGGAGGATGGCAAGCCACGGCCACAATATCCTAAACGAGATGATTGGAGCGAGCAGGCACCGCACTTAGCACGCCACAGGGTCCCTTCTGTGGAACATCGCCCCTTCTCTTGCAAGCATTGGTGATGCATTTGAGTTCGGAGTTCGTTTGTGTTTGTGGAGGCACTACCTCATTACATTACCTGTACACTACCTTTACATTGTAGGCCATGCGACAGGAAGTCTTCGTAGCGGTGCCATGTCGGGGGTCACCTGCTGGTTTGATTTGGCTCGCAGCTCAGACGAGGCCAAAGTGTCTGGTAGAGAAAACTACGCATGCGAAAAACAAGTGACGATAAGTTGCTGAGCCTTGACGTCCCTAAATCAAACTCCCCAGCGAACATCTGGTCAAGGAGTCCAGACTTCGTTGTGACAGATGATCCAGCACCCCTACCATGACGCTATACCTTTGCTGCCTATACTCCCGAAATTCCCGAAGCATCTACTGTAAGAGTCTAAAACACCCAGCGCACCACGCCCTCAAGCCGACCTCAGATTCTTCAACCCCCCTTTGGGCCCTTTTTTGCGGTCTTGATGCACTTGCTCAAGCGCGCGCAACATGGATGACGCAGAGGCCACGGTTTAACCCTTCACACAAGGCTGGTTGTTGTCACGGTTTGCGTGGCCCTGCGGTCCCAGCAGGCGCTTCCTTGTGACCATGCCGTCAAAGAAAGGGCGATGTCTGTGGACCACCGCGAGGTTCTCGCCGTGATCGACTTTGTGCTATTCTGTGCTATACTGTTCTATACCTTAAAATCTTGAACTTAAAATAACCGTCGACTTATGACTCCTCTGCGCGTGTGTCCAGCTTGAAGCAGCATCAAGCTTTCGTAGGTGAAGCTGCTCTGCCCATCATTCTTCGCAAAAGCTGGCGCTACTGGGCTACATCTGTGTGCAGACCAGTGCTTCGAAGAACTTTAGGACAACTCTGCCATGCTTCATGCCAGCATTCAGCATGTCTGGAGTGAAGCGATCAAGGCATGAAGTGGTAAAGCTTAGGCCTCGGACTGGGATGAAGATGACGGTATCTCCAAGCTTAGCCGCTCTGTCCACACCTCGGATACAAACGAAGGCGGCCGGGGATGTACTCGTTGGTACTTGCGTGCTCTTGCCACAGATTGGGTTGACCAGCTTCTTGCACCCTCCCTAACACGCATGGTCGGGAAACCCTCCGTTAACATTTAGGCCAAGCGTAGCAATTCTTCTGCATTCCAAAGTCTCGACCGGTGTGCAGTTTGTGCAGTTTGTACTTATGCTCAACTTTACCTGCCCCAAAGACCGGCGCAGCCTTCAGGTCTTGCTGGTCACGGACCCTGAAGGCCTGGCGGAGGAGGACACCACACGGGAGACCACCGTCCCAGATCCCACAGAGGCCCGAGCTGAGACGTGTTGTTTTTTGGTGAATTCGGTGCAAGTGCCCCACATACCTGTGTTCCAGACGGACGATGCTCTGTGCGCCATGCTCCAAAACTCTGACACACTACTGTCGGCCCCGTCCTCAGTCGCAATGTTACGGTGCTCGACATTGGGGTTAAATCGTTGTTCTATTGCTCTCCGCCTCCGACATCTTTTAAGCAAAGTACATGCTGGAGGACCACATAATAAAGCAATCTCAACTCTGCCTGGTCTTTGAGATCGGCAAAGCCGTCAAGGGTTCTTGCTTGAGCGGCGGTGTTCTGTATCCGCTCGTTCGAATCGTAGTGCCGTGATCTGTCTAATGAAGGTGCTGGAGCTAAATCAAGATCAGCTTCTCGCGAGTCGCTGGAGGCAGGGTGCTGTGACCACCTTGGCAGAACGGAATGTAAGGGACAAGGGGTGCAACATGTTGATCCGGAGGCGTGCTGCCTTCAATGCAGTGCGGACGCTCGCGCGAGCTTCGTGATAGCCTCGGGACAAAGAAGTTAGGGCTGGAGACAGTGTGCAAAGCTACACAGAAGCACATGACGCGAAGTGAGTTACGATGGCTCATGCCAATTCATGCCAACTTTGCGTAGCATAGTCAAGATCTTGGGCCTACCAGGCCTGCGCTGGTAATCTACGGTGGCACAATCAGTTTGCTGGCTGCGGCCTCAGTTGCAGCTTGCAGAGCCATGTATGTGCGATACATGCAAGAGCAGGCAGCTTTGCGAACCTCCACACATAGACAGGTGCACCAAGCCGTGAAGATCTATAGTGACTGTCAATGATTGCTGAGAATTGACGACCTGTGAAACACTTTGCAGCTAGCATCACTCTCTACTAGCGTTCTTGCACTTGTGATGATGGATATTGCAGCCCCACCTTATGGAGGTTTGCGCCGTTTGCCACTATCGCTGGGGGGTGCTTCTAGCCCTGACGCACTGCGCTGAGCGCCGGTATGCTGCCAGCATTCTCAAGTAGCGTTCTGGTCATGCGGGTGTGTGCAGCGTGCACAGCTCAAAAAGATGCTTCAAAAGACCCTTCAGGCTGTTCACCTTCTACATGCTTCACCTGCGCAGCTGCCACGTTTCAGAAGACTTGGAGGGCCATGCAGAATTCATGTAACTCTGTTTCCGATACTTCAGGGCAGGGGGCTTACGTGGTCTTTCTTTATTCCAAAATAGTGGCCTTTGACCACCCTCTGGCGCCGGGGCAGGCAAAGAATCACGCCTAGCCTGTTGCAAGTTTAAAGCATCCTCAAGCACGACATGACAACGGCGACAGCAGGCCAATGAAGGCCACAATGCATATGTTTTCATTGCCTGCGAGCGAGCTCGAACAGTGGACGGACTGTGATGTTTCGTGCTCTATGCATCCCGTGAACTTGGGTGCTCTGAGTTCTTTGAACCTGCGCGCATGGATGTCCAGGTGCATCACATTTCTGATTTTCGCCACTGTTGGCCTGATGAGGGCCTTGCCCCTAGCAAAGCTGTACGTCGCACCGCAGCCGCAACTGCGACTTGACATGGCGTTGCACGAGGTTCTCCGTGACGGCAGCGAGGATTGGGCCGCGCGAGCAGCGCGAGCGGAGGCTGCGCCAGGAGCCCAGCAGAGCCAGCTTTGGTCGATGCTGATGGGCTCATCTGAGACACCCTTAGGCGAGGTCCAGAAGAAGACGAGGAGGACCTTCCTGGCACAGGAAGAACAAACCATGCAGCTACGTTGTATCACTACGAAAGACCACGACAGTTTTGCGCATCAGTTGTTAGCATCCCGCGAGCGGTGTCTCAAGTCGTGCACTCTTTGCCCCGGCGGCATAAACACACGTGACGATCTTGCATCCAGGATTGCGGTAGTTTTTGTCATGCATGGCTGGAGCATCTTGGCATTGCTTGCTTTAGGACATCACAGCGTCGGAAGCCCAGCACGGGAGTGGACCTTGACCCCCAACATGCCATGATGTGTAGCGTCCACCACTGCCTGAATTCAAGGCCACTACTGTAAATGGCTGTCAGTGCTTTGAGGCGCGATGTGCTACACGTGGTTATGCTTCCGACTTTCCGCACTCCTCTGACAGTACTGCAGCACACGTGCCAGCCTCAGACCCGTGCCAACGAACCTGTCACGAAAGGCTGCTTCAAATTTCGGCTTTTGGGGCCATTAAACTTTAGGCCCTTTAGGCGTCGGCTTTGGGTGCAGCATTAGCTCATCATAATCAGAGAGATTCAGAGAGCCAAAAAAGCTTGTTCGAGTTCCTGACAGGTTGACCTCCTTGGCTCAGCCCTGCCCTTGGCTTTTTGTCAGCGAGGAACGCAAGTTGTGCTGTTTGAGCTGTAAAGTCTATCAACAGACCTGACAAAAAGCATACTTCCTAAGCTACGTAGGCCCTACAAACCTTAGTACCCAGGTACAACCAGGCGAAGGAGCAGTTGGCCGTTTGCTTGGCGTTCGAGGCGAACATCCAGATTATTTCTAGTGTTTCAGGTTTCTGGGTTCTGAAGGACTTGCAGATGTTAGGAGCTCCGTGCGCTGTTGCAGACGTCGGCCGCATATCCTGCTCTACCAGTAGCTACTGCGTTTGATTTGAAGCAACACTTGCAGGAGCGAGAGGATGAGGCGCAGGAGAAGGCAAGAGCGTCAGCTTGCAAGCAGCTTCCACTGCCATGTGGAGAGGCAAGACTAAGTAGTGACCAACACGAGAGCCAGCTTGCTTTCATGCTGGAGCCAGGAAAAGGCTTTGAGGCAGATGTTCTCTGACACGTGGGGGCCTTTGAGGGTATGCCTCGTTCTGTTCTTCTTGGCCCCAAGAATGTTAGAGGGGATACCATGTACTGTAGAAAAGAGTTGCCACGAGAACTACGAAGCTCACAGCCCAAAGTAAAGTTTGCAATATCTTGGCCCAAGAATCCTAGGGACCTTGGGGGGGACGATGCCCCGTGGCACGGCTTGCCATGAAGCCCGAAAAAGCTGTATTTGTTTACCATAACGTGCTATGTCTAAAAACGCAGGCTACTTGACAGGCCCTTCTTTAAGGATAATGGCTGCATGGTAATTAGGGTTTAGGGTCTCCCCCCCCCCCCCACCCCCCCCCCCCCCCAGTGTTGTGGGAGGGGGTGGTGGGGATGGGGACTGAGGATTTTGGGGCGTAGGGTCTCCCCCTCGCCTCCTCTGGTGTGGTTGTGAGTTGGTCTTGATTCGGATTTGGGGCTTGGTGTTCTAGGAATTTAGGGTTTTTGGGGTTAGCATTTTATCTAAGTAGCCCCGCCCGTCTGTGGGGCGGGTTTAGGGGTTAGGGCTTCTGGTTTAGGGCTTTGGCATTGCACGGTTTAAGGGCTCAGTAACGTTTAGGGTTTTTAGGGTTTGGGCTTGAGGGTTTAGGGTTCCTCAAACCCTGCCACCCCAACCCTACTCCGGGGCCGGACATGCCAGACGCCTCAACATGAATATACATTTAATGTCTTTGTAAATAGATAAAGATAAGTATATGCAGTGGCTTTCTGCGAATCTCCGACATGTATCTGAGGTTCCGCTTCATCCACGCAACGTACCATCCGTCCAACCTCCCGAACCACCTACCTGGAAAGCGAGGGGCTCGTTTCCGGTGTGCAAAATATTGCACCATTACTGTAAAGATTGTTGCCAAAGATGCGTTGTTGCTTTGGCGTTGGGATGTCCGGTGTCCTGTGCGCCACTGTGAAACCTTCTGAGCCTCGCTACTTGCTCCATACGTCTGCTATGTGCACGTTCCACAACGAGACTTGGACATGACTCGGTTTCTAGCCGAGAAGCCGCTTGCTTGCGCTGGAGGTCTTCCAACGAGTGCTGGGCTTTCCTGCAGCTGTGTCGAGAACTTGAGGAGGTGCCATCACTCTCTTTCCCATAATTTCAGGCTCTGGAACTCTGACGTTGTACCTTGCTCGCTACTCACTAATGACGTGAACTGAGAACCGTGAGGCGCACCAGGTCGTGCCAGAGGACCCCAGAGTGGCGCCGGGCTAAGGGTCTCAAGAGAATGTCTTCCGGAGAGTCCAAGGGTTTTGTCTGGGTTATTTGGGTTTGGGCAGCTCCTGTTCCCGAGCAAGAAGCTGGGCCAAGATCCTCACGGTGATCGATGACGACTCGGACATGCATGACAAGTACTTCGAGGCTGCATTGAGACACATCATGACCAACACGCACCGCCACACAGATGGCATCGGTCGCAGTCAGACGCATGCAGAATGTCTGCGTATTGTGAGGTGTAAGAGTGCTCGCTTGTATTCTGTTGAAGGCTCTGACATACCACTTCGTGGCAGCGGGGCCCAGCAGAAGGTGCGCAGCTCAGGCAAGGGCAGTGGCTGCGCCACAGCTTGAAGGATGCACCGCACCTTGAGCAACACGCTGTAACATGTTTTCTCATCTGTTTCTTACGGTTGGCTTTGGTTTCAACATGCCGTTCATGATGAACCAATCAGACGAGCGCTTGCTGCGGTAGTAGTGATAAGCATGAGCGGCTTGGCTGTCTGCCCCGTGAACAAATGCGGTATGCGATAGAATCGAACGAAGTCGTCCTACTTTACAACTCTTCGCCCGTCCAGCTTGTCACACCCAGCATCTTCCAGCGTTCCGCTGAGCGATGTCTGCAAGCATTCCATCCTAAGTACCAAGGTGTAAGAGCTGCGGACATAGTTCGAAATATCTTGGGATTTAGTCTCCTAGCTCCAGCTACCCAGCTAGCGAGTTTTCTTTCGGAGCCAGGGCCTTCGTTTGAATGGCTGCATTCAAAGCAAAACTGCAAGAGACAGCGGCAGCAGACCTCACCAAGTGAAGAGGAAGCTTCAACTTGGCTCCGAGATGTGCGTGCGTGCGCGCGTGCGTGCGCTTGAGTGTGTGTGTGTGTGTGTGTGTGTGTGTCTGCAATCTTGTATCGAAGGGCAGTATCCAAATTTTGACCACGCGTGTGGAAAAGGAATCTGGAGTCATGCCAGCCCGGAGTGTTCCTGTCAAGGTTTGAGAGCTGGCATCTGAAGAGTATGACGTTTAGAAAACCTGGCAGAACCTCCGACGAAACTCCAGTAGCAGTTTTGAAGCGCGGACCTGAGTGCGAACTGAGGATGTGACCCGTCTGTATGCAAGGGCGATTGCGGTGTTCGATGGGTGAGTTTGTTTATGTTCCGTTGGGTGTCGTTCCGCTGCTACTAAGGTGGGGGTTCGAGTCTGTTTCGCTCCGGTTTGAGGTTTGAGTCCGCTGCTATGCCAGAGATTGTGTGTGTGTGTGTGTGTGTCTGTGTGTGTGGGTTGGTGTCCAGGTGGGTGTGCGTGTGGGTGTGCGTGCGCGTGCGCGGGCGCGCGTGTGCGTGCGTGTGCGTGCGCGTGCGTGCGTTCGTCTGTGCGTGTGCGGTAAATGGAAGTACCATTGCTCGCCAAAGGTATACGTATAGGTTTTAAATCCTTCTAAACTCTTACACCAACTATTAGCTGTAGCAAACGGTTGAGGTATCTGAACATGTGGCAGCCCCCCATCTGCCACTTCAAAAACTTCCTGAGGCAGGAACTGCTTGTCGCTGGTGTGGTGAAAGGAGTTCAGGGATTCAGGGAATATCTACAACCTGGTGGAAGGGCGACCCCTTTCTGTTTGAAGTCATCCAATGTCCTAAGACGCCACCACCTTTCAGCAGCATTGCGAAGTGCCATCCCCAGCACTTCAGCATTGTTTTCAGTATGTGCGTTTCTGCTAAAGGCATTGCAAGCCGTGGCCACTAGTAATGCGGTCTATGTCTGGGAAGTTGGGGACAGTTGTTCCATGCAGGCAGCCTCTGCTCGTTCGAATTTCTTCGCTGTTTTCCACTCTGAATGAGTTATCTTGCCCGGGTCCCAGGAGAGGCTCTCTACGGCTTGGCATGTTGCGTGGGAGGGCGAGGGGGGAGCGACACTCTGCAATACCAATGTGTCACCTCCAAGCAATCTTGGAATTTAAGGATCGAGTTTAGGGTTGACCTGGTTGACTCTGACCCAGCCTTACACAACGGCCCGGCGTCTGTTCAAGATATCCTGAGGTCTAGCGAACCCCTGGGATTGCCACGTCTCCAGCTTAGATCCTTTGAAGGTTAGTGGGTGTGATGTTGCAGGTGCAGTGTTTTTCATGCAGATTTGCCAGAGACGTCAGAGTGAGTTACTGCAAACAGCTAGCAGGGCCAGGCTACGCGCTTTTGCCGAGGTACCGTACTCCAGCTACTCGATCAGCTTTGCCGGAGCCTTCATGTTCCAGTCGCACCCAGGAAGCAGACCCAGACCTGAAGACACAACTCGAGACAAACATGGGAGCAACTGGCAAGATCCCGCTCCTCTCTAGGCAGCTTTGGGCGGGACATGGCAAATGTGCTGTGGAAGCTATACCCAACTCCAAAAGCAATGCCCCCGATATCATGGTTTTGCTCGAGAAGGCGATACCAAACCCCAAAAGCGGCACCTTCAATGAAATGTATGTCTCTGTCGTGGCCTCTAGGTTTTGACGCGCGCTCACGCTTCTTAAAGTTTTTTGTTTTTGCCGGATAGGTCCATGTCCGGAAACGCACCACTGGAAATGCCGAAGACCTGATGTCGAACGCAGCTGGCGAGTCTTCTCAAAATTGAACGATGCGAAGGAAAATATTGTTCAATGGGCTCACGGTTAGTTTTTGCAAGGGTTTGAAGTTGTGCTACATATCAATCATCACTACAACTCGTTTAGTAAACTGGCTGGTGACCCCACTGGCGATATCAAGAGCCCATGTTCTATGGAAAGATCTAGGTTCAAGTGAGTGACGAATGTGAAACATGGGGTGAAACGCTGGAAACACGGGGCAATGACGGGAAACAAGGCCGCAAGGGTTGAAGCACAGATGCAGGTCCTTCCCTCTCTTACACACACACATCCTCAGGTAGTTCTCCTAGTCTCACTGCCAGTACTTCGTCAACAGCGTATTGAATGGCCGTCAAAGGGCTGAGCGACGCGTGAAAGTCAGCAACCTGTGGAGAGCCAGGGCTTGCCAATTGTGAATCAGCCGCCTTGCGTCGTGAAGGAACAGGTGTGAAAGTAGCAGCCAGGATGAGGCGGTTGACTCCCAGAAGAGTTTGTGGAGATGGACTGTTCTCCAACCGCATGTCCAACCTTCCTGTCTTCTTCCCTAGCCTTTCATCTGGTAAGTCATGATTCGACCTGCGTGAAGTGCCACACAGCCTACTAAGAGAAGCTAGGCTCTAGCTTCAGCGGTGGGCGGCTGGGATCCGGAATACTTGGCCGAGGAGCGCTCGCTTTGAAGCCTTCCCGAAGTCCTGTACGGGGGCACAATAAGATCCCTCCCGAACATCCACAGGACTGGCACATGTTTGCCAAGTGCTGCTTGAAGACCCAGGGAAGGGCAAAGTCGGGGTCCTCAGAGCATTGGTCTTCCAGCTTTGTTTGATTGAGAGTCTTTGCTTGGTTTGCCGAAGATGGCTTACCAGGGCTCGGGCTTGGTCTCCTCGCACGTGGTATGGCGTGTGGCAAAATGCCTCTAGAAAGCTTCTTCGTTTAAGGATGCATTGTGGTTGTGAGTTCAGGAGGTCATTGTGGTTCAGGAATTCAACACAGCGACACCTGTATCGGTTCGCGTGTGACAGCTTGAAATCAGCTAATCATCCTCCCTCAAGGGCCCTGCGAAAGACCCTCTGAGTCGAAGCTCGAGGTGTATTCCGATCTTCCTTCCTGTGCTAAACTACACACCGGAAGAAGACACGCCGGGCCCTCGTCATGCCAGTCTAGCGGCAAATTGTCAGGGCACGTGCGGAGTCAGCATCAAGACTTCACGACTTGTAAAGCCGATAAGAAAGTTGAGGACATTTTGGGGGACGATTGCCCAGGTATTGCTCGACTCTCTGGAGCCGATGGGCACAGGCCGGACCCCAGCAATCCCGAACCCAGAAAACAGATGATGCAGGGAATTGCAGGGCATGAAGTCCGGGAGGCAAAACGGCATGCCCTGGGAGTCAGTGAAGTCGTTTACGCCGGAGACCTCAGTCCGGCCTTATGCGATCTTGTACGCGTTAAACCCGAACATAGCGTCAGGCGCCAGGAACGCTCTGAGAGGTCAAGGTTCTGGAGAGATCTTCAAAAACATGAAGTGAACGCTTGTAAAACGAAGAGAGCATCGCTGGCCAGATTGAGAAAAAGGGGGTACCCCGTGGTAGGTAATATGATCTCGCTTCAGGAGACAAGTGGCGAGTAAGGTTCGAGCATCGGCATTTCTGCTGTTGCTTGTTACGAGGCAAGGGGGAGTAGGGATCGACAAGCATGTACAGGACCAAGAGCAGGAAAAAGAAATCAGAACGAAGCTCACAAGGGATCAGCTAAAAGCCCAAATCAAATGCAAGTCTGACTTCTTGGTTTCTTGGTTCTCGGCTGGCTTCTGGCTTCTCGGGTTTTGCCCTTCGGTGTAACAAAAAGAACCAAATACCCAAAGTCCAGAGGGTTCAATTACAAGCAGGTCATACAAGACAGAATTGCAGAAAGAGAGAATGAAACTTGCGCACATTTACAGCAGTAGATAAGTAGTTGCAAGGAGAGAAGCATTCCATGAAGGGCGCACGCCGTTGCCTCTAAACGCACACGAACCTTTTCCAAACCCCGCCACACCGGCTGCTTAGAAAGGACAAACACATGACATGAGCAGATGAGCAGAGAGACTTTGAGGTGCTCTCCTTCTCCTTCCTGGCCCTGCTGGAACTTCGATCCTGCAGGCCTTGAGCATAGCCTCGCCGGGCTGTGATAAGGATCCCCTTTAATCAGGACCCTAATACCCCCCCCCCCCCAATGTCGTAAACCACCAGACGACCACTCTGCCAGGCAATCCTTGGTCTTCATGTGGCGGCTGCTGCCACTGCTGGCCAAGTTCGTCCAGGCAACGGAGGGGCTGAGGGCACCTTCATGAGGCCGGTAAAGGGCCCTGGCAGAACTACAAGACAGCTTTATCTGAGAGAGGGACTTGTTTGACAAAGATCTCAGTGCCGATTCTGACAGACGCACTTCGTGAACGGCGTTGCGGCCGTGTGGAACGTGATGGCACAGGTTGTCATCCACTTCTACCTGTTCGGGTGCGCCAGGGCTGGGGTCGAAGAAGGAAGGCAACGCAAACTAAAGGGCGGTTTTCGTTACTCCGACTTCAGGATGCACAGCAGGGCAAGCAGCGGCTTGCAAGCTAGCCGCAGGGTCGCTTCGGGTTGAAAGTCTTGAGTTTGTTCTTGTTAACATGTTACCCTGTCAGTCTTAGAACAGACTGGTAGTGCTGGCTGCCAGTTCGGACAGTACATCCTCTTGAGGGAGGAAGCTCATAGACTGAACAAGAACAGAATGTCACCGTGCACATGACATTTTCACCTCAGCATGGATGTATCACAAGTAGCACATTCTAAAGGGCAAGCAGTGTTTATTGTGTGCTGCATCGTAAGAACGCATGAGCATCCACACGGGCTTTGACAGGTCCTGGTGCGATATGCATCACCTCGCTTCGCCCCAGCACCTCAGCGTTTGCGGAATTTGGTTTCTTTGAGTTGCTGGTTGTGGACCGGATTTGAGCCGGTTGCTTTTTTGTCCTGAGTTCTGTCTTCCCAGAGAAGTTCGAAGTGGAAGCTAGGCAACCTAGCTCAGTTCCTATGGACGGACGCACTTCGTGTGTTGAGGACGTGCCCCTTTGGTTCCTGGAGTGCGATGGACATCACACAGGAACAAATACTCCGGTTTCAGACTCAGCCCTTCCTTGAGTGCAGCTCGCTGGGTTCGGTGCCACTAGTGATTCCGAGGTCGGCCATGGTTCACTGGCATTCACTGGTATGTAGGCACATGAAAAAGAAACCACAGAAAACCCAAAGAGCTGGCAGTGCCAAGCACTTGTGCAGGTGCCGAGGTAGACTGAAGTGTTTGACACATCCATTCTGCAGCATGGAACGGAGATGGAAGATTTGCAGACATGCCTCATTCAGGAATAGCTTCCTTGTCTTCCTGCAGCAACGCGGGACGGCTCTCATGGCGTTTGAGCCTCACAATTCAGGCGTGACTCTGTGCCTTGCGCAAACTGCATCCTTTTGAGGTGCGCCAGCATCCTTTCCGGTGGCCTTGGGGCAATTTACTTTCACATGGTGAAGGCGCGGGTAATTCTGACTGTTCTGAGCAGGGCGACTTCCCGCCAGTATCCGGCAAAAATGCCGTGTCCGAATCCGAGGACCGTGTGGAGGGCAACGTGGATGAGCACTGGAAGATGAGGAGCTTGCCGTTAATGTGCCCTGGGCCATCGATTCGCTGTCTGGGTGTAGAGAGTTTGGAGGTACCGTGCCATGCAGACACCAGCGCCAAGATTGAAGCCAGGTGGCTGATCATCGAGCTGGAGGTCTCCTTCTGCGGCCTGGTTCAGTCCTTCATTTTCGGAGCCCTTCCGCCTGGGCCCTCGAGAAGTGACTGCTACAGGGCTTGTAGATGGCCCCAAGACCCTCACGCTGTGACCGTGCCAGCACGACCCTCTTCCAAATCCTGTCCTTTCCGCCTGTCGGCTGAGGCTTTGGATTGCCTGCATCCGCATCATTGCCAGTGTCAGGCCCGTGCTGACACGTGTGTGTTCCTCTGACTTGATGGGGGATCGATTTCCGGTGGAATTCATGAGCGAGCGATTTGTCGAGGGCAGGGTGTCCCCTGTTCGTTTGTTTCTCAACAACTGTGCTCCAACGACAGGACTTTGTGAGGAAGCATGTTGCATCGAATCGGTCTCGGGCTAGTTGAGACTAGTAGCCTATCCCAGCAGGTTCACGCACGTTGCGGCAGGCATGGTCGGGCACTGAGCAGCATGTGTTGAGTTACAAGGGGCACCCGCACGCAAAGGTGTTCCCGAAGGGTCCATAAACGCATAGTAGGTCCTGCTTTGCCTAAAAGGAGGCTACACCAGTAAATGCTGTCGGGCCCAAATACTTCCCATCAGGACATCTGGAACTTGAGTTGCTGTGCCACTTGTGATGCAATGAACATGCTGAGGTCGGCCGCAACACCGGCGAAGTTTCGGCGATCTAGACATGGGTCACGACCAGATGCCGTAGTAGAGTAATGGGGGAGCGGCTTAAGACACTCGCTCAGCGGAGTGAGCATACAACAGCCTTAGAACGGTGCTATCAACATGAAGACATCTGGCGCGGCTTGGAATTTGCATCGCAGCAAGCTGCTACAAACCAGCAGCATCCATGAGCCTCTGTTGTCTACGATTTGGTTGTAGCACACGCTTCCTAGAGGTAAGATATATGGGTAGTTTCCTAAATTAGGGTCCCTTTTTAGGTACCCATGATAAGGCGGCACCCTAATTTAGAGAACTACCCATATACAGAATCTGGTCACGAGGGTGCGGATGCGACGGTGAAGTAGCTTGGCAGCTGTTTGGCCGGGCTTTGGGGCGAGTGATGAGGCATGTCTGTTCCCTTCTTCACTTCAAGTAAGTAACTGAAGCGGCAGTTTTCATGCAAAGCTTTGGAAGAATGCCAATTGCTCGCCTCAACGGGCTCTGTCCATTCACCTTATGCCGGAGTGTAGGTGCCCTTCAGGCTGTGGAACCTGGCGCGTCCTTGCGCTACGAATTCTTGCATCAGAATGACCAAAACATGACTTTTCTTGTGTTCATGCCTTGCAGGGCGATTTCCCGGCCATGTTCTTCACCTTGAGTAAACGAGGGGGTAGAGAAGATGTGCTGATTCCTGGTCACCACATCGCCCAGTTACTGCCTCGTAGCCCTGACATTAGCCTGAAGTCCTTGCCCGTTTGCCCCACGAAAATGTAGCTGTTCTCTTCATGAAGCTGGAGAGAGCATGGACTCAGAGAGCAAATGCAACGGAGTTCCGGCAAAACGAGTTTTTGTTGCGCAGCTGAGAGCTTTCAGCTCAAGGCCACAGTCCTGGAAACTTTAGCATCAGCAGTTCCACTGTCTTTGCATTTGCAGGAATACCCGGTGGACTTCGACGCCAATTGGGCGAAGGGCCGAAAACCCTGGGAGGCGCTTGGAGAGTGTCAGCAGAGATGATAGTGGCGTGCGAGTACTTGCACGCATGTGCAAACTTCGAGCAGTAACATGACTGATGTTCGGCAGCCGTTTTGTTTGAGGGAGGGTCGTTTCGAGTGAGGTATGGCTAGAATCGGCTAGAATGTCGGGGTGGTTCTAAGTTAGGCCCCCCCCATAGGGATAGATGCTGACAGCACTTACAAAGACTGTCAATCTTGTACGATATCTCATGATGTGGCAAAGGGGATTCGCTTGTCGTTCCCATGTGCTGAACGTCGCTATCAACTAGGAGTCGCTGCATTTCTGTGATCGTGAGTTGGTTCATGGAATCTAGTATGATCACACAATGGTGTCCGCCACAAATCCGACAGCTCATCCATGTATGAGGGGGAGGTTGAGTCTAGTTTGGATTGCGGGCGGGAGGTCAGACTGTAGGACTGGGGGTTTGCATCTAAGGGTTAGGGCAGGTTGAGTCCGGGCCTGAGCTGAGTTGGTTGAGTTGCTTGAGTTTCCCGTATCTACATGGGGATTGCTTATCGAGTCTATTTGACAGATGTTGAAAGTAGAAAGCGTTCCCAGCATGCTCGCATCTGCAGCAAATCCTGTAGTTTTGCGCGTGCTTGCTATTTGCTGGAGAAGCCAACGTCCACTTGGGTGCAGATCAACCCAAGTTCCCCAAAAGGTTAAACAATTGGAATGTTCGGAATGGCAGCCGCTGGACAACAGCCAAAACTGAAAACCTTAGGTCCTTAACGCCTTGGACTCCTGCTGCTTTGCACTCGACTCAAGCCTCAAACACCAGAACGTGCAAGTTCATAATGGGTTGTGTCCAGCTGCAACTGCACAGCGGGATCTCCCATGTAGGTTTGGTTGGCGGCTTTTGATGCCTGGGACCACGAGCGAAAGCGTCTTTGCGAGGCTGCGTGCAAGGGACATGTTCAGGTGAGCATGTGGGGTGTCCAGTAGATGGATTTAGATGGTTGGAACCCTGGAGCCAATGCCCCTGAAAAGAAAAGCTTTACTATGTTAGTTATGTTTCTAATTTCTCACACGACTTTGGGGTGAGCTGGGAGTCTATAGCGTGCATTTCCATCGATGCGCCTCATGTCTGGCCCCCTTGAGCTCTTGAAGGAAAACGCGAATGATGGAACTTCATGTCCAAAGCACACCTTCTTGACCTATGAAGAAAGCCAACAGTCGGAGACTCGAGCTTTTGATATTGACAGGTTGTGTTGAAACCGCTTGGCTATCCGAAGCTTGTAGGCTGTACTGAACTGGTCACAGAGACTTCGTCAACGCGCAAAACACCGAAAAAAGAGGCATGCTCCGATGTACTGCATTATCCCACTCCCTCTGCGAGGTCTACCTCCGCCTTGGGGAGGACAAGGATGCGGCGGAAGCTTCGGAGCTTGCGCGGGGCAAGTCAGCTGCTCAGAGACGGCCCCGAAAGCTCTGTCAAGCTTGAAGTTCCGCTGTTGAGGTGCGAAGACAGTCTATACGGACAGCACAAGAATCTCTAAACTCGAAAACCCAGTAAATACTGCAGCATTTGCCTGCGCCTGCGACTGCCGGGCTGCTACCGTGGACTTCAACTTCTTCTACTTACGCTTCCAAAACGCCCAATGAAAGCTAACCGCAAACTCCCTAAAGCCTCAAAATCCCTGAACAAGCGAGTGGTCACTTGTCGTTGGTTTAGCCCGCTTGTTTGCCTCGATTTCCTTGACGTGAGGTTCCCCAAACCGCCATGCATGCCCGAATCCGTGGTTGCCTTGTGCGGGCCTCGAAGCTTGTGTGTGTGTGTGTGTGTGTGTGTGTCTGTGTCTGTGTCTGTGTCTGTGTCTCGGTGTCTCGGTGTCTCGGTGTCTCTGTGTGTGTGTGTGTGTGTGTGTCTGTGTTTTGGCACGATCTAATGCTCTGATGGTTTAGAGATGGCGGGCCGAGCGGTCCTAGGCTTTTCGATGTCTCAGAGAAGTGGTTGGGTTTAAGACACATTGTTTTATCTACTCCGAATTACGATGCTAGAGCATGGTGCGCATTGACATGGTCTGGCACTGCATGCAGGCTGTAGAGCCAGGTCAGGGTCTTTCGGGTTTCCCATTGCATTCCTTGATTGCAGCCGGGGCTAGCATTGCTAGCATCCTTTTTCCGCCAGTTGCAGTTGCACATGATGCCTGGGTTAGCGAAACCATCATGGTTACGATTGGTCAAGCCAGAAGCATTGTCACTGCATGGCTGCGTTTATCGACTGCCCAGTAGCTCCCCCGTCCCAGAGACTGCATTGCCCAAACCCCGAAGCCAAGAATCCTATCTCGGTCCTCATTCCCTCAGAGGCGGCTGAGACCAAGCCACAAACAGTCCTCCGAAGAAATTTCTCTTCCACCGGGCGCTCTGTCTACAATACATCCTGAGCTCTCGAGTGTCACCGATGTCAAGGCTGCGTGACCTCAGTGCAAACGGAAGGTACCAGGCGGCTTACGACGGTGATGTCGTAGCGCTTGCCGACCTGCTCGAGGCATGTCTGCTTAGAGCCCCAAAGAATCTAAGGGACTTAGAATTTATTTAGGGGGTACTTAGGGATATAGGGACTATATAAGGTATATATATATATATATATATATATATATTTATTTATTTATATTTTAAGGGGCTGCGCCCATGGGCGGGCAGCGCAGGCAGAAGCGCCGGGCGAGCAGATCCGTCACAGGGTTGGGGTTTCTCTAAGCGTTTGAGGCTCCTAAACTCCCTTGAAGTTTCCAAGCATTTTGAGGCCCCAAACTCCCTTAAAATCTCTAAGCGTTTGAGGCTCCTGAACTCCCTTAAAGTTTCTAAGCATTTTCAGGCCCCTAAACTCTCTTCAAATCTCTAAGCGTTTGAGGCTCCTAGACTCCCTTAAAGTTTCTAAGCATTTTACAAGGCCCCTAAACTCCCTTTTTCCTAGCCCCGGGCTTAGACACGTCGCTTATGCCCGCCCTTTGGGGGGCATCATGCTCCTGATGCGCCCCCGGGGTCCCGCCCCGGGAGCCGCCTGATGCTCCTGATGCGCGCCTGGGGGTCCCGGGCTGGACCCGCTGATGCTCATGATGCGCGCCCTCTGGGGGCCTCCGTGGCGACGCAAAAAACCACGAAAAAAAAGACCGTTCACCGGCGGCACGCGGGGGTCGGCGGCACTGGCGTCCGGCCCAATTCTGCTTCGCAGAAGGCCGCAGGCTAGCAAGGCTATTCCCGGGACGACCCGGGTTAAAAGCTCGATGCTTGGGGACCTCGCGCTGCCCGATTTTAAGGGGCTGCGGCCATGGGCGGGCAGCGCAGGCAGAAGCGCGGGGCGAGCAGTTTCTAAGCATTTTGAGGCCCCTAAACTCCCTTAAAATCTCTAAGCGTTTGAGGCCCCTCAACCCCCTTAAAGTTTCTAAGCATTTTCAGGCCCCTAAACTCCCTTCAAATCTCTAACATTTGAGGCTCCTAGACTCCCTTAAAGTTTCTAAGCACTTTACAAGGCCCCTAAGCTCCCTTTTTCCTAGCCCCGGGCTGAGACACGTCGCTTATGCCCGCATGGGACCATGGACCCTGAGTCCAGGAGCTATGGGACCATGAACCCAGGGGCATGGGTCCATCGGGGTCATGGGGGTTGGGAGCCGGGGGGGGGGGGGGGGGTGGAGCGGGCGGGAAGCTGATAGGGTCCAGGGGCATGGGGTCATGGGACCATGTACCCTGAAACCAAGAGCTACGGGACCATGAAGCCAGGAGGCATGGGTCTATGGGGGCTGATAGGGTCAGGGCCATGGGACCATGCAGGGCCATGGGCATGCGGAAGGCCATGAGGCACGGGAGCCATGGGCGGGAGGGGGCGGAACGGGCATACACTGTCCAAGAGCATGGGGCCATCGGACCATGGATATCGGGCCATGTGACCTATGGAACCATGAACCCAGGCGCATGGGTCCATCGGCGCCATGGAGGGAGCCATGGGCGGGGTGGCCGGAGCGGGCGGGAAGAGCGGAGCGGGCTGAGGGGGGTGGAGCGGGCGGCCATACAAAGTCAGCTGATAGGGTCCAGGGGCATGGGGCCATGGGACCATGGACCTACGGGACCATGGGGCCAGGAGCCATGGGTCCATGGGGCTGATAGGGTCGAGACAACCCAGCACCATGGGTCCATCGGGATGGGTTGGGAGCCATGGGCGGGGTGGGCGGGAAGAGCGGAGCGAACCTCCCATACACTGAGGCCCTGTGTCAGCTGATAGGGTCCAAAGGCATGGGGCCAGGGGACCGACCCTGGTACGGCATGGGGACACCATGCGTCATGGGGCCATGAGCCATGGGCTATGGGACCATGAGGTAGAGCTATGGGACCATGGCGCCAGGAGCCATGCGTCCATAGGGGCCATGCGGAGGGCCGTGGGGGCACGGCGGCCATGATGCGGGCGGAGCCAGCCCGCAACCGAGCCATGAGCGGGGTGGGCGGAGCGGGCGGGAAGAGAGGAGGGGGCGGAACGGACTGGGGCCCTTTAAAGTCAGCTGATAGGGTCTAGGGGCATGGGGCCATGGCACCATGGACCCTGGGTTGGGGCATCGGGGCCATGGAGGTTGGGAGCGCGGCGGGCGGAGTAGGCGGAGGGGGCGGAGCGGGTGGGCATACACTGGATCATGGACCCTGAGGCCAAGAGCTACGGGACCATGAAGCCAGGAGCCATGGGTGCGTGGGGGCTGATGGGGTGCAGGGGCATGGGGTCATGGGGCCATGGGGCCATGGGCCATGAGGTAGAGCTATGGGACCATGGGGCCAGGAGCCATGGGTCGATAGGGGCCATGCGGATGGCTGTGCGGGCACGGCGGCCATGATGCGGGCGGAGCCATGGAGGCCAGGGGTGGACGGCAGGCGTCCAGGAGGGGGGCTGGTGGGGGCGGGAGGAACGGGCACTAGGCGGGGGAGCAGACAACGATGGGTCTTCACTGGCGCCGCCCCCGCTCCAGCTGGGGTCGGCGGATATAGGATTAAAAAAGGGGAGTAAGATTAAGGGCACATCAGAGATTTTGTTCCCCGGATTCTGCTGTACCAGGACGAAGAGGTGGATATCTGCTGCAAAGATCACAATCTGCAGCCACGGCCTGTGCGCGCTTCCCTGCCCAAGGCTGCAGGTATAGCTCATGGATGTTTGATCATGGGGGAATGTTGGAATTGCTGCTTCCGGCGCAGGATGCTCTAGATTGTCCCAAGATTCCTCATATGCATCGTTGTGCAGACCTAGGACGCCGCTGATGTTCGCAGCTGTCAGTGGCAGCTTGGAGTGTGTGGGCAAGCTCAGAGCTCGCCGTTGGCCACCATTCTTACACCTGCCCAGCCTGCACGGCTGGGAGTTGTGTGCCAGTACCGGTGCTGAAAGGAGTGACGCATAATTCTTTTAGTGTCTCAGAGCCCGGAGCAGCAAGGTGGAATACTTGGTCGACATGGGTGCTGACATGGCAGCAACCGACAACAAGCAGGAGTTTGCCGGCTGTACCTTGCTGGTTGAGAGAATCCTGGTCATGTGGTAGCCTTTCGACCACACGCTACTTGTAGAGGAGCTGCGAAAGCTCAAGAACAAAATGTGAAAGCTTGCCTTGCCTTGACATACACTGTTTGGAGGAGACTGCATTCGACCTTGCCTTTGCGCAGCACTCCGAGAAGTGGGGATCACAGTCCGCTTGCTGCGCCTTCGTCCGGGCACCTTTCAGTCTCCCCCCTTCAGGTTTTTGAGGTCTTAATTTGCTCTTCATCGTGAGTTAAAGCCTGGTCAGGTCTCCTCAGCATCCAGTAATCTTGTACTTCGAGGCAGCCCGAGACTCAGAGAGATGCTCAGCATGAGTTCAAGACTCTGACATTTCCTTGGAATGATTACGTGCGAAGAGATGCCCACAACTCCGGGGCCTCCATGTACCCTCCATTTAGCAGAACAGACTTAGCAGAGCAGAGTCGCAAGATGTCGCACCTTGCGGAAGATGCCTCGAGGCCAAGGCCCCCAGGGGCTCTGGAAAGAAGCCGAGGCCCTGCACGTTTTTGTGGGGGCATTGTGACATTGTGGACAAATTGTGTGGCTTGGGGTTGAAGGGTATGTAAGGATTGTGAGTTACAAGAGGTTTTGGACGCAAGGGTTGAGGAGGCTGCCGGTGTTGCGGCTGCGGCTGGGACTCTGCAACTGTGGTGGTTAATGGGCAATTGGAAGTTGGGCTGTAGTTTGAAATCTCCCTAGGTCTGAATGATGTCTTCTTGTTGAGTGCTGTTAGAATACGAACCACAAAAAGGGGACCAGAGAACTGACCTCGTGATGCACTCTCTAGAAACAAGCAAACAAACAGGCCGCAGTTTGCCACTTTGGCGTTCATCATCTCTCCACGATCCAATGGACAGGTAAAGTCTCTGAGCCACAAGAGGAACTTTACGGCGGGCTTGGCAGAAGCACGTCTGTTTCCACTTCATCGCAGCTCGAAGATTCTGGAGAGCCGCGATACCCGGACCAAATCATCCCATGACCTGAGACCCTACGCAGCAAAACCTGAGACGATTGCAACTACTCCGCGCGGCTCCGCATGAGTCTCAAAGACCGAGCACAGCAAGGGTTTAGACAAGCTTGAGGCCACGTAGCTGGCTTCGCTGTCTACTGAGTCTACTGACTTTAAAGCTCTTCCGATCTCTTCAGGGGGTCAACAAGAAGCGTATCCATGCGTATCCAAAGCACCCGAGAGTCTTTAGCTTGCAGATTGAACTGCCTGGTTCGGCTTGCTTGCGCAACTTCCCTGTCCAATAAATGTACCCTCCTTGGCCCAACTGTTAGGAACGCATCTCTCAAGTCAGAATTCAAGCAAGGAGCTGCTGTTAGACTACCATCTGACTGATGCGTTGCAGCAGTGCAGCAATAGACAGTAGCAGCAGTTATCGTCATTGTGGGCGATGTGGTGTGCGTGTGATCTAGATGGGTGTGGTGGTGTTTTTGATTCAGGTTCTAGCAACATGAACTGCATGCTCTAGGCTTGTGCGTAGGCGCTTAATGCCAGGCAGGCGCAAGGACGAGCTGCCCAAAGCTCCTTTAGCCTCAGCCGGTGAAGTAGTGCAGGCATCCGCGTGTGGTCTTTCCGCTTGTTGGGCCACAGCGGGGAATGTTTCAAAGGTCCATGACAATGAGGACCGTGCGTTCACTGACAGAGGACGCCTCTGGCTAGAGGACGGCACTGAAGTCTCCTATCAAACGGCGGCAGTGGTAGATGGACATGGTGGAGCTGGAGCATGTGAGCTCATTGCCGAGACCGCCATGCGCATCTTGGGAGAGCATTTGGAAGCCGCGCTTGGAGATGTTTGTGCTGCGCTGTCGGAAACTTTCGCTGACTTGGAAGAGCAATGTCTTGCTTTGACACCCCCCTCAGGGGCATGCATGTGCCTATGCATCGCTGAAAAAGGTCGTGCTTGGGTGGCCAACCTGGGTGATTGCCGAGCTCTTGCTGTTTCGTTGGAAGATGGTGGTTGCCTGTTGAGTCTAGACCACCGTTCTGGTGAAGGAACCGAATACACTCGGATTCTCGAAGCTGGAGGCTCCGTGGTTGGAAACGCAGTGGAAGGCCTGATGCCATCACGCACGTTGGGGGACGCAGACGTGAAGACTCTTTGTCCTCCGAGAGTCATTTTGGCCGAGGCGGAGGTTCGAACATGGGATGGGCAAGGCCTCGTCATCATTGCTTCTGACGGTCTCTGGGACGTGTTGTCCAGTGCTGATGTCCTTGATTTGCTGCCGAAGGGTAAGAGCTTGCGACGTGTATGCCAAGACCCGGGGACTCTTCAAGCTTTGGCTGATGGGATTGTGGACAAGGCCATGCGTCTCGGTGCTCAGGACGATGTCACCACCTTGCTCCTCCCAGTCCTCTGAAGCTGTCATCCTTTTGGAGTAGAAAAGATCTGAGGGTGCTTGGGGCACATTGGGGGTTTGGGCAGCTTCGGTCTCCGGCCTGCGGCTTCAGAGCACGTGGAAAGATGGTTTCTGGGTTCCAGGCTTACCGGAGTTCTCACTTCATGGCGGGCGCCGTGCAAAACGCTGGGGTGCAGTGGGCCAAGTTCACCTCAAACCCTAAACAGCTTCTGCCCTGAGGCTAAGGTCCAGGCAGTGTTGGTCTTACGGGGTCTACGGGGTTGTGAAGGTGGCGTTTAGGTCTTCAGCATCACGGCACATGGCCTGGCGGAGCCCTCAAGGTTCAGGGAATCAGGGGGCTTAACCTTGTATAAGGTTCTGGGATGTTCGCAGCACGAAGGCGCGCGTGAGTTGCGCTTGCCACTTGCATTACAGCATCCCACACGAAACCTTGTGCGGCCAGACTGTAAGTGTAGCCGTGGGTCTGTCTGACCCACTTCCAGATCCAAACGCCCTCATCTTAGCGTCGACCTCTCACTGCTTTACTCCTCCAAACATGCTACCTCCGCGCGGCACCAGAAAGCCAGGCCACCTCATGCCCAAACAATGATTTAGCTGCTCTCGCAGCAAACCTCGTAGTCATCACACTGAGCGATGGTGCGGCCCAACCTGCGCCGAAGAGGGCAAGGCACGCGACACAACACGGAGTCTGGCGTGACGCAGCATCCTTGGCAAGCTTGTGGCATCCGCAGGCCTCTGAAGAAAATCGACTTGTAGGTGATGTTCATGGTTTTGTGTTGATGTCTGCACTTCGAATTCGGCTGGGAGGCGCCTTGCTCGTGGCCCTGCAGAGCCCTCAGCAACGAAAGGAGCTGCCCAAGATTTTGTTGGAGCCCCTGTGTTTGGGCGAACCCCACTCGACGTGTACTGTGGCAACTTATGAATCGAACTGTGCCATGATGTTGTTGTCCCAAGCCCCGCTGAGACTTCTATCCCCAAACCTTAAACCTGAAACCGTAGACTTGTCGCAGCTAGTGCCTGTATGTTGAGCCTCTTTTTGCAGATGGTTTGTGGGCAGGCTTGCTCTGTTGAGAATTCCGCCGTTTGTCAACCTTTGTCATACAGACCCCCCTCCTTTGTCATCATCCCTGTGATGTGGATTCGCCCCAGCTGTGCAGGAGTGAAAAAAAAGCCGTTAAGACCCTTCATGCGGTGTGCTGGTTGGTGTTTGCTATCCATATGCTGTACTTCCGGACACTTAGCACCCGTTGTATTACTCAGAATTCACAGCATGAAGCCCGAAGCCCTCAGGCCTCAACCTCAAACCCTAAACCCTAAACCCCAAACTTTGAATCTCCCGATGCCCTACTTCTCCCAGGCTTGTTTGGTCCCTGCGGGCCTGGACATTCACAGCTCCACAGGCAAGTTTAGGTTTGAGAAATCCGTACAGAACAAGGGGGGTCTTGGGAAGTTTCGGCTTTTCGGGTCAGGGGCGTTCGACGTTTCGGTTTAGGCCTGCTGTTTTTTTTTCGACGAGGTGTGCAGAATAGAAGGATACTGGTTAAAAGGTTGCTTTTGGTTGCAGTGACTTTGTTTTCAGGTCGTTCAAATGTATGATGCTTCTATCAAGTATCCAGACACAGAACAAGATGCCCTGAACGGATGGACGACCACGTCAAGCAATAGCCAAGCAAACCCAAATCCTTTGAAGCCAAATGTTGACACGGAAATTGTGCCAATCCAGTACGCTTTCTCATTCTCAGGCTGCTTCTCGAATATGGAGAGGCGGCTCTGGCCTCAGTGATTTAGGGTTTAGGGTTTGGGGTTTGGGGTTTAGGGTTTAGGGTTTAGGGGCGTTGTAGCTTCAAGAGGTTGCGTGGCCTTTGAGGTGTTGCCCGTGTTCCTCTGATGTCTTTGATAGCTGCTTGTTGACGATCCTGGAGCAAAAAGCATAAGATGTTACTGTAAAGTGGCATGCAGGTAAGCAGGCATCAGATGTCCCACTGACCGTTGGAACACTGATGATATCTGCGTGATAAACGAGCAGGTCCCCATGCTGCCATGTACGCCACGTCTGCGCAGGTGCTGCTGCAAGTTTGAGGATTGCCTATGTGGGGCTTTGCAGCATCGATTCCGGCGCAAGGGTACAATGTAAACACGTGGCAGTTTCTATTCAAAGTTTGGTGGGCCCTTGCAAGCATTTCCCATTCTCCCGATGCGACGGAGCCATTGACAGGAAGAGGTGAAACCCAGCACAGAGGCCCAGTCTGCAGTGTTTCTGAGGGTGACTGGCCGTTACGCACATACTCTACTCGTGCAGAATCGCTTCTCCCCAATACTCGAAGTCTTAGTGCTTTTTCGACCGTTCATGCTGTAGGGCTCTGGGGGACTATGGCATTTGTAACCTTCATTGCATGTTTCTTGCGCCCCTGACCCCCCCAAAAAACCCCTAAACCCTAATTGAGCTGGAGCTTCGGGAAGGTGAAGACGCCTTCCGAGGAGTTGGAAGCAAAGGAGGCTCAAGTGGACAAGTGACAAATAGTTTGCGGCACACAGTGCATTCCTGTTCGACTCAGTCGCCGTCATGGCTGCATTCGTAGCCCCCTCAGTTCCCGGACTTCTTTTTTGCGCTGTCCGCACATGTGCTCCCTGACTACATTGCGCTGCTGACATCCCTCTAAGCCCAAAGAATCCTTGCAGCCTGACAGGAAGAGGAGGCAGAGCTCCAAAAGGCTGAAGCCAGCGCGAGCCTCGAGCCTCGAGCCGCCAAAGCCAAAACCCCTATTGTTCCAGACCAGTGTATAAAAAGAAGGATGTTTAGTAGCATAATGTAGCATACCTTGCTACTCATATTTGAACCAGACGAGCTTGTAATGTCAGCAGGGAATCAAGGCATGCACCGAGTCCTGCACAAAAGCTTATGGCTCTCGGCTCCTCATCTTGACTAAAACTACCAAGGCCACGTCGTGCTTTGCACTTGAGCTTCGCCTCCTAAGCTTGCACGCAAGGCTTGCACCCCTAGACCCCACAACCCTCCCAAACCCCCAAAACCCAAACCCGACATCGATACTCGCAGAAGCCTCGGTCGCGCAACTGCCTGTTGGCAAAGCCGCTTGAATTTCAGGAATGGGGTTGGTTTGGGAGGATGGGGCTGCCTAAGACGGCACGGGGCTGGGAAGAGATGAAAGAGGTTCGACACGACACACCACACTTGTTGCGAAGCTTTTCGGCCTACCATACGTTCACACCTCTTGTAAACCCTTACTCCCTTCAAGCCGGCTGACCTTGAATCCTTTTCGCTGAGGCAAGGCGGAGCTCGCCCAAAAAGAGTGGAAGCCTTTGGAGGTGCAAAAGACCAAAGTTCGAAGTTCGGCCTTAGCCATAAAAACGGGTTCAGGGCCGTTTATAACTTTGGGGAGGTTTGAGCTTCCCAGGGCTTTGGGGATGCCTGTGAACATGCTATAGACAGGCAGATCCATGAGCTCAGTGAGAGTGTGAAAAGGTTTGCGTGCCACCCGTCAAGTTTGTGTGCGCCAATTCTATACCTGAAGCTTGCCGCCAGGCTTTTTACGAGCCAACCGAAGACACGATTGCCCGCTTCTTATTATTCTGATGGCCAAGTGTCCGCGAAGCATGGTGCAGCTATTGCAGCTTCTCAATGCTGGGCGTCACGATGTGTTCTTCACGTGACCTGTGGACTGAGTTCAACAGCATCGTTGCTGTGGTGCGGCCCTCAGCGTCCGGGCCGATGGTGGAGCAATTCCTCATGGAATTCGTTGAGAGGTCACATACGCGGCATTGCAGGACACACCGTTGAAAAGATCTGGATGGCGCGGTTTCATTTGCCAAGCCCCACCACCACCGTGCTGAATATCAGGTCGCAAGCATCGCCGCTGGCGGCGCAGCTATTCTCATCTCACAAGGCAGGCCATGTCACACCTGCGCACGTAGAAAAAGGAGAATGAGACCCACTTCAACTCCCCCCTAGTTCAGTTGCAAACTCGTCCTGCATTGTGAAGATATGGATGTCCGGGAAGCAACTGTGGAACATCGGCATTCGAGGTCTACAAGCAGACTTTTTCATTCTTGTGTTCTTCTTCGCGGGAGCCTCAGATGAGAGCAAGTCAGGATGTGGGGACTCCGTGAGTGCAAAGAAACACAGAATTGATCGGAAAGCCCGCTGCCTCAACGCTGGAGCCACGATGATACTTGTGTTCCGACCCTCCAGGTCGTCATAGCAATCGGCTTTTTGCTTGCCCTCTTCGGGTCGCGCCGCCCAGATTTGCAGAGGCAGAAGTTGGAGAGGGTTTTGGGGCCGTAGCTTGCGCAAAGTGTTTTAAGGGCGCGAAGCATCGTTAACGTTTTTTCAAGTTGGCACTTCCAAGATCTCCCCCCCCCCCATGCCAGGCTGAAGGCGATTTCAGGCGATGAGAAGCTGGGAGCCCCAGCTTGGCCCAAGTGTCTCCGGCAGTTTCCTTCCTCCTGCAAAGGCCGTGCCCATGAGGCCCAGGTGACATGCCTCCATCCAGACTCTAGGAAGGTAGGATACGGCTCGGCGTGGCTTCCACAGCCTAAGCCTGGCCTAAGCCATGGACATGCCTGGACCCAGGACCGAAGCCTGACTCGCGACCTGGCTTTCGTCTCATTTTTTGTTTCCACATGTTGGGGCTCCAGCAGCATTCGGGCAGCTACCCGTGTCTCATGCACCTCCTGTTCAGCACGGAAGAATGGTAAAGACAAGAACGACATGATTTACTGGGCAGCCTTCCCAGCGTAACCTTGCAAACTCATGCAAGCGGAGGCAAAAAAAGAGGGAGTGCTGTGCTGCTGACGCGGACACGTTCGGAAACAGCATGTTCGGGGCTGTGCAGCCACTGGCAGCCCTTGAGCCTTGAGCAGCACTCGCTCTGCAGCCGTTTCGACAGATTTTCAAAAGCCTTTTAAGTGAAGCGTCGCGAAGCCGCAGGACCCGGCGACTCGGAGTCAAGTTTGGCAGTGACTTCGAGAGTTTCCAAGCATTTTGTGCAGATGGACAGCACAAGCACGATGTCCCCGGTGCGTTTGGAGTTGGTATTGAGTTCATAGAATATATATATATATATATATATAGATGACTCAGAACTGCCTTCTACAGATGACTCATAACTGACTAGCCGAGGTGCAGCTATGGCAGCTGTTCGCTCGCTTTACGGACCCAACCTCAATAGAACTTCGAGAGTTGCGGGCTGCTGCAGCTGAATCTGGTCTGAACACACGGGTGCAGCTTTCAAAATCGCTGCATCGCTGAGGTGAGGATATGGTCAGGCGTGACCCCAAGCTTGACGGACGTGCTTTCGTTAGACGATGTGTCGCGATGTTGTTGCAGTTGCACTGGAGATTTCAACAAGACTTTCAGTGAGACCTCAGAGACCTTCTCGGGCTCCTGGTTCAAGCTTGCTCGTGCTGCCAGGGGGGACGCGTCTCAACGCCAGGCCGCAATGCCATGGATGCTCCAGCAAGGACAGGCTATATGGCAATGTAGATCGACCTGCTTGGTCAATTCCTAACTTGGCTTTACCCTCCAAGCACCTCGCAAACACGCTTTTGCCAAAGAGTCTCTGGCGATGCCTGCATACTTGATGTTTCAAAACAACGCCACCATGTCTGCAAACCCAACCCCCGATACCCAAAGCCCTAAGCCTGGTCCAGGACGCCTCGATCCCTCCGGACTTGACTCGGTCGAAGCCTTTGCCGGCGTCGGGTCCGGTTGCATCCGGTTGCTGTTTCTGCTTTAGTCCAACGAGTTCTTTGGACAAGCGCTTTCCTGTAGTAACCACGCTTGTGTATGTAGTGGCAACGTGACGAGCCTCCTCGTGGTTTGTGTCAGCGTGTCAAATGAAGGATATGCAAAACAAACAAGATGCACATGCCGCGTGTCTCAAGGCCATCAAGAGGCTCCTCGAATATTTCTGATCCCACTCGGACACCGTTGCTACCAGTGCCACTGGCTACCTCGGTGCCATGTCATTCGGGCCGTTGATTTCAGCTCAGGGCACCTTTGGCCTGCAAAGCTCTTTCGAATCTCTTTCGCGGCGCATGTTCTAAGCCACCAGGCTTCTGACAACACGCCATTGTGAGGTTGTCTAATCGGAGTTGTCCTAAAGCCCCCTTGCTCATCGCCAGGTCAGGCGCGGGCTTGGCATTTTGTTAAGAGTTCTGTTGTCATGGTGGAGGTTGCTTTAGATGTCAAAAGTTTTGTGTTTGAGGTTCAGGGCGTAGGGGAGGGCTCAGAGTTGGTTGCAGTCGTTCGTTGTTTTTGGCAAAAGCAACGCAGGCAAACACGTCGGAGATTATTCTTCCAAATTTTCACCATTTTCTACGAACGTGCCTCACGTGTTGCCCATTTGGCTCCGGATCCGGCTTGTGGAAGTTTTTCCACTTCGTGACTTTTAAAACCAGCGTCCCGACATCTTCGTCAGCTGCTAGTACATGGGCAACCGGCCATGCTGTGAATCAAGCGAAGCCCCAGCTCCTAGCGCTGAAGTTGTGTGTGCAGGCAGGCAGGCCAGTGAAGTCCAATGGTGCAAAAATGTTTCGAAGGACAACTCATCTGAATATCCAACAGTTGCGCAGTTGAGTAGTTCTGGCTCTGGCTCGCTCATGTTGCGCAAGCCCCCCAGCAGGGTGAGCAGACTTGAGAAGTTGAAGCATTTGGAAATCGACACGGAGATCATGCGCGGCGCGAATCTTCGCAGGACTCTCCGACTTTGTGGAAAGGCGTGGCTCAGGCCTCCAGCGCAGCTCAGTGAAGCCGACCGCGAAGAACTTTGGAGGTATTCTGCACCGGTACAGAGTTTCGACACATTCCTGTCTCACACTTGGTTGACTCCGGGAAGGTGGAAGGTGCTGTCCTTGACGATTCAATCTGGATGGCCCGTCATGCTCGCCTCATGGGGAACGGTCACAGCGCTGCTCACGGTTTTCTGCTTGACGAATGTGTTGCCAATGCCCTGGACGGCACCATGGCTGCTGCTGTCTGGTTTCTTCGCCTTGGGCTTTGGGATGCTCATTTCACCTTTTATCCCTACATCTGACCAGATCATTTTCCTGGACATGTTTAGCATCCACCAAACGAATGCAAATTTGATGGAGCGCGGAGTCTATGGTCTGGGCGGGTGTGTCAGGATGTCCCAGCAGTTGCAGGTTCTGTGGAGTCCTCCATATCTGCCACCGCCTCAGTCTTCTCAGTATTTCTCCAGTCTCACCTGTGAAACCCTGTCACGACTTGCTTTTCTGCTTTTAAGCAGTTGCGGCTGAGGTCACGGCTCTGGTGTGTTTTTGAAGTTGCCGCATTCCGCAAAGCCAACCCGGACGGCAAGATCCGTTGGACAGCCCTATTTCGGGAGCGAGCTTTCATCGTAATACTTGCAATGACTTACTGGATGTCAGGTCTGTTTTGGGTGTTTTTCGCAACGCAAGCTGGCCCTGCTCCTATAGCATTGGCATATAGCCTGTCGGCGGTCCCTTGCGCCTGCGGGATACACGCGATACGGAGAAGTTTCCGCGAGGGCCAGCAGCTGCTCAGTGACTTGCAGCACTTTGATCTGAGCTCAGCGGCGTGCACTCTTGATTTCGATCGACCCTACGGCTGCATCAAGACCGTAGACTCGGCAATGCTCGGTACCGTAAAATCCTTGACGGAAGCGTAGTTATGGCTCACACTGTTCATTGTTTCAGAGTGGTGTCAAACAGCATCGTGAAAACAGCCCCACCCCGATCTGCCCATACGCCATCCCGCACACTCGCTCCGGTCGGCGTAACAGCACATTCAGCACGCCTGCACTTGTTCGGATGTTGAGGAGCTATTGTGAGACTTTTGGGCCCAATATTGGACCGTCGGACCCTGCCCGGCGTCAACTAAATGTTGGACTGTCTTGGGGTAACGCAAGATGTCAGAAGTTGTTTTCTCGACTGTCTCCCGCACGTTTTTGCAGACAACTTTTGCTGCCCCAGGAGGGTGCCTTACACGGAAGGGATGCTTTTCGTCCCTTTTGGGAGGTGCCCCATACCTACTACATGTGGGGGAAAAGGGTAACTTACTTAATCTTTTTGGGAAATCCCAATGACAACTCCGACTCGGCGATGGGCTTGACACGACGGTCGGTGCAGTTCGCAGTGGCTCCCTTCCCGAAGTCCCGAAGGACACCTCTATAATAGCTACTTGTAGGGCACAGCAACCTTGCACAAGTTGCTTCAAAAAGTCCTGACTCCGGCAAACCTGTCCCTCAAGTCATTTGGGTTTTCCCCAGCCCCCTTCCCAGCCTCTCACAACTTATCTAAGCCAGCATTGTGGATAACATGTCGGTAAACCTCGAAAGAAGAAAGCACAGCCCACGGCGGGCACTCGTTTCTTAATGCATTTCTTATGAAAGCCGTACTGGTTGTGGCCATGAAGCATCCTGAAACTGCTGATTTTAAGGACGTTTCATCTACACCGCCATCAAGGATTGGTACGGAAATGAAGAGGCCTTCACGCAATACGTCCGCGGCGCCCTGCGCGAGGAACTGCTGGCGTCCGCATCGTTTCTGTGCAGAAAAGAAGTTCTGCTTCCAATTTGTCCAAGAGGGGCTTTCAGCTTCGGGTCCCCTTTTTGGATTCTGTTTGTAAGGGCTTCTGTTGCAGGACCGTATTCAGAGCAGCCCCCTGTCAGGTGCAGTAGTGTTTGAATAGAGCAGCGCAAAAAAGCCTTGAGCAATTCTTAAGCACAAACAGCAAGCCCTTACCATCCCTCAACATTTGCAACCATCCAGGTTCGGAGATTGCCCACTGGGCTACTTCTTGATCATCTTGGCTGGGTGGATAAGCTACAGTTTGGAATTCCTGCTGGCAATGCAGCAGCAAGGAGCTCCCACAGAAACCATCATTCGATACATGATCGCGACAACGCTGGGGTTCGATGTGCTTTGGAACTCATTTTGCCTCATCATCTTGCGAAACTGCTGTGTTCGCTTTGCCGCCAAAGGCTGCCTCATGGGCTTTTCAGTTCCGGACCCTGGCATTTCCATCTTGATCGTTTTGCTCTCGGCAGGCTGCTGGGCGGCGGGAGGTGAGTTGTCAGCCCTGGCTACTCACTCCGGCCTCTGGTGGTCACTGGGGTATATAGCGCTTGCAGCTTTCAGCCTTCTATCCCTGAAGGGGAGGGAGGTGGTCGCGGTATTTGCCAACAATTGTCCAAGATGGACTCGCACCAAGCCTCAAGGCGCAGATGCAGTGGTTAGCATCTGAGCAGTCCCAGGTATGCATGTTCGTGAGTGTCGCCATTGGTGCCAGTGCGGAATCTGAAAGTGCCCCAGCAGCTTCCCAGATGACGTAGCTCACGGGAGACGATGCGCAGGTGCTGCCCGTCAGAAAAGGTTCTTTGGCTGGAGTGAAGGAAGTTCAGACAAGTTTAAGTCCATGTGTATCTAATTCGAGGCAAAGGCATAAAATTGTATTTAGGACCTCTATGGCACTCTGTGGAACTCTACAAGCGATAAACTGGAGCTGAGCACGCCAGCTCTTGGTGCTATAAGGTATTATTAGGCCGTACATGGGGCCTCGCAGCAGCCTTTACCAGGAGGCTTGACTTGTTCATTAAGCGTTAGCGCTTCGAAGACCTGCGCTGTTGATGGGTTGCAATTTTGATTGTAATTGTGTGCCACGAAGCCTATATCTTCATTCTAGTAGTTGTTCTAGCACAAACGTCAAAAGCCATTATAAATAATACAGAAGAAATTCTTACAAGACGTACTTCATGTCATCTCAGAGCAAAAGACAAATAAAAGAACTGAACACTATCACTGTCCACTGTCTCTTCTGCAGTGACCTGAATGTGCGCCCCATCTCATGCGAAAGTATATCGACAAGTCCTCATGATGCCTCGAGTGCAGCACAACCATGCCAAGGTCTCTGCGCCGTGGATGGGTTTGCAGTCCCAAGGCGCCACCCCCAAAGAATCTTGCATAGGTATTGCGCAGAGGCCCCGCCACCCTGCATGGTGGCAAACGGGGGCGAAACCCGAGCCCACACGGCTTACACGTGGCCACTGCAAGCTGATCACATTGGACATTTTGAGGCCAGATGCTTTAAGCAGTAGCATCATGGTTGTCTTTCACTTGCCGAATCTCAAGCTGGGCCCCATGGGTTTTGGGCTCATATAAAGGAAGTACTACCATTGGGCGTGGTCTGCGCAGGTCCCTACTTTGACAAAGCAGGGTTCGTGCAGTTCTTGTTCCTTAAGAATTGTTGCCGGATTCCTTTCCTAGGCTTATACCAAGACAGCAGACGCATGAAAGTTCGTGTAGTTTTGTGTAGAGCAGGCAAAACAATCTTCAAAGTTTCGCTGCTGCACTGGCCTTTGAATCCCACCAAGATATGGGTGCGGCATTAAAACAGTGCTCGCACCAGGTCCGAGTGGCTCTTGCGACACGGGGTTGCCCAGCTACATGCACCAGGATATGTACCCGCCTTCCTGGCCAACTTGACTCAGTGCATTTAATCGCCCAGTGTCGTCTTCAGGCGTAGGTGCAGTTCCAGAGTTCAAGACTTGCCTCTGTGTGCAAGGCCACTAGGGCGCCGGGACATTGAGTAAAGGCCCTAAACTACTACTTCCTTAAGAAGCCCCCAAAAAATTGCAAACATTCTTCCTTATGAGGGCAATATAGGGATTAGTATATATATATATAGACATATATATGTTCTGGGGTTCTTAAGCAGTTGGTAGTAAATCTGACATCCAGATCATGGCAGTTCAAAGCTTGCTGCTCAGGCTTGCTCTGCGAAGTTCCATGTAATTCTGGCCCACGAACCCTAAACCCGAATCCTAAACCCACTCGACAGGGATGTCAACAACTATGTGCCAATGGCGGCTGAAGGAAACCGGGCAAATGCGAGCTCTTCAGCTGTGCTTTGTTTTGGTGACATTTACTTGGGATGTGCCCCCTATACTAACAGTCCTTTAACGGGATAGAATCGGGGGTACTATACTCCCTATTGAGGACTGTTAGTATAGGGGGGAACATCCCAAACATTGACCTCAGAGCAGATGCGCAAGATGGTGTTGGCAGGATTTTCAAACAACCGCCAAGTCAGACTCCCGGCAACATGCGCTGCTTGCAATTCAGATAGGGCACAGTGCATGCTGCTTGTGGCCTTGCCTGTCGGACGTTGTCTGGTATGCAAGGTTCTGGGAGAGAAGCCGAAGGACGTTTGGGGACTGGTTTGGGGGCGGCTGGTCACCCAATGTCCGGGTTCATGCTGGCCGCAAAAAATCAAGTTTGTGGGTTGCTATCCTGTGGCATGCTAGTTCGATCGGCCCTGAACCGGCAACACCCGTCCGCCTCAATGCAAAAAGATCGCCAGCACGCCCTGTGACAGGAAAGCCTTGTGGACAAGACCGCATTCCGCTGCTCAGCCTGGTTGTTTAGAACAGCTAGGCTTCCACAAAAAGGCGTTCTTGTCGAAAAAGTCAATGCCCATGGTTTGCGCTGTCGGGGCTGTCTACTGCAAATGGTCTTTTTGGGGTCCCTATAAGGCGGCCCCGAATATTTAGGGTACCCCGAAAGGACCATCATTTTGAGAACTGACCAGGTGAGATCTTTCCTGAGCTACTGTCCTTTGCTGTCTTGAGAGCCACTGCGGAGGTGCTCTGTAAGTTGAGTGTCATGCCAGGTCAGCAATTCAAGAAGACACAAATGCCGGGACCTTGAAATCTTTAATTGTGCTGAGCGAGTCCCTAAACCCCATCACGCGCTGAGGTTGATGCTTACAGGCGCAGGTTTGCCATCATGCTTGCTTGCCTTCCATGTCACGCAGTCACCCACGACAAGGGAGGTAGACCTTCCAAGAGAGGCTTGTAGAAGTCACACAGTTGAGAAACTTCACAGAAGGACTGAGACAGGTGCGGCTTCATTTAAACCCTAAAGCCCTAAACCCTTAAACTCTTCAACCCTATCAATCCCAAGTTTCAAGGTGCCGCTTCTTCCAGCGATCCGCATGCCGCAAGGGTGACCTTTGCGAGCCGGCACCTTGGGAACGGCTTTGACGGACATCAAAGACCTGTTGAGTTTATGAGGAATTCATTGAAAAGCTTTCCTAGAGACTTCCCGTTTTCGGTTTCAGGGCTTGAAAGTCCCTTTTGGCGAGCTGACAGCTCCTGTTGGGGCCTGTGGCTTCCTAGCCTGGGCTGGCCAGCAAAAAAAGCATCTTTTCAGGGTGTGAGTTTTTTGCGATGCACGAGTCTGCTTTCGGGTGTAAAGTTGACCAGCCAACCCCTCCTTGAAACTTTTCGGGATGGGGGCTTGCCAGCCAAGTCTCCTTTTTGGGTGAAGGTTTGTTCTCGGGGAACCTCCGCAACAGGTGATGTTTGCAGGGTCCTGCAGGGGCTGTCTATGAAGTCTCCAGTGGGCCTGTAGGTGGTCCCTAGGACTGGGGGGCATGTTCGCGGACAGGCTTGGTTTTGGCCCCTACCCCGATAAAAAAAATGCCTGCAGATGTTAATCTCTGGATGGCCTTGAAAGTATAGTCTCTAGTAGGTCTCAAGTGGAGCTTCGAGCACATGGGGCCTAGAGCATTCTGTTGCAACCTAATCTCCGAACACGGTTGAAGTTGAGACCTTTTCCTGGTGATCCCCCTTACCGGAAGGCCGAATTTCTAGAAGTCCTCTCAGGTTTGCCCATGGGACAGACGAGTTGACCCAAGCGCCTGACTTGCGGAGGACAGGGCACAAGGCAGTTGCCTGGTTGCCACATTTTCTCACATTTTGCTTCAAACTTTTGATTCCTGCCAGGACCTCCCTTTGCAAGGCTTTCATGGAGGGTTGTTGCCCGGAGTCTGCTGAGACATGCAGGCGTCGGGAGCCGCCATTGCAGCATCTTTGGCCAATGCTTCGGGTGGTGTGTCTTCCCGATAGGAGTTGCACGAATCACAACCGTCATAAACGAAGCCATCCTGAACGCTGAGCCGTGCAGGTTTGCCCATGGGATCGCTCTGCAGGGTGCCCAGTTTGGCTCTTTGGAGATCGGGTTTTCAGGAATTGCCCCCTTCACGCACAGCTCTTGACCTTTTCTGGCAAGCTTTCCGGCAACTCCTGCCTCATCTGCTGCCTAGGAGCAAGTAGCGGCAAGCAAAGTTCGAGCCATTTTTGGAGTTCATTTAGAAGAGTCGAGCTGAGGCTACGACGCACACCAGGCGAGACCTTGCACACCAGCCCCACTCTGGGGTGTCACTTGCTCATGGGATGCAGTGGAAGGGCCCGAAACCTCGCCTTAGCTAAACACAACCGTGCGGAATTGTGGAGGGGCGGCCTCGCTGACGCAGGTTTTGAAAAACTTGTTGGTTCGACGAAGGCGAAGCCCGCAAACGAGGTGCCTTCGGCGGGGGGGGGGGGTTTAGGGTTTTGGGTTTTGGGTTTTGGGTGGGGGGGGGGGGCTGGGTGATAAGAAAGCCTCAGCAGATTCGGCTTGACAGACGAAGCAGAATGAGCCATTGGCCCTAAGCCACAAGCTTGAATCCACAATTCACCCACAATGCAGTATGTTTTGGTTCTGGACACTGGAGGATGCCGAGAACGAAGAACACTCCCAGCCAGGATCCCGGACGTTTGAGTTCAAGAGTTGTCAATTCCCGCATAAGAACCGCTCCGATCCCGTAGTTGCCTCAGCGTTTCCTAACCGCAGGAAAGTCTCAGCACCGTGGTCAACGGGAGCCAGGGATTCGTAACCCTCCCTTCAAGGTCGTCATGGTCAGGTCTTTGAGTTTGTGAAGGTGAAAACATCTTTGCCTCCTACGAAGCAGCAAAGGGCAAGGGAAATCTCTGAGGCTTTGACCATCCAATGTCCCCTCATTTTCTGGGTTGCCACTTTGAAACAACATAAACAACCACCATCTGGTAGTCCTAAGTCCTAACTTGCGAATTTAGGGCCAGGAGCTTTTGAGCCTTCTTGCCAGTACAAGTTGACATGTCTGCTGTGTAGGTGTGCAGCAGAACTCAGTACTCAGCACAGTCGCCGGTAGCTGCGTCACCTGCAACTTGCAGAGTCTGCGCATTCGTCGAGGCTGCATGAGATGCTGAAGAAGCAGCAGCGTGAACAGGAGATCTGGTCATAACTTGCATATTGCATCTACGAGCTTGCTCATGTTTCCATGTCGCATATGCAGATGCCAACATGTCGGTGTCATTACCGCCTGAAATAAGGTTATAGTTAAATTTACATGAGCAACGAAGCCGTCCCGATGCTTACAGGATCTTTAGGTTTTGGATGGGATTTGGCGAGCTCATTGGGTTCGATTGCTGAGATGAACACTAGCCTCACCCTACACCTATAACCGATGTGGGAGCCATCCTGCCGTTTTTTCGGACGGTGAATTAAAGAGACTTCGCTGCGGGCTTCTGGTCAGGACTCTCCGCAGAATTCTCTGAGGGTAGGCAGGAAATACGCGGCAAAACCCTCTGCAGACTCTTTTGCTGGGGGCAGGGCTGGGGAATGCCTGCGAGCTTCTCTCTGGGCGTGGGCACTCTAGGGATACTCGGCCGCTTCTCTGAAAATGAGCACTCCAGGGCTACTGGGGCGGAACTTTGTGGCTGGGCGGGACTGTGCGGGGAGGGCAGTGATACTCTGCAAGACTCTCTGCGGGGGTGGGCACTCCAGGGAGATAGGGACAGCTGTAACCGTGACAGGTTTCGGGCATTTTCGTGCACTCCAGACTCTCTTTTCCGGGATGCGGGCACTCCAGGGATATTGGGCAAAAATCTCTGCAAGCTTCTGGGGGGTGGGCACGCCGGCGGGACTCTCTGTGGGCGAGGGACAAGGCGCAGGAGACCGAGAGGGACACTTGGCGAAGAGGCGAGGAGCATTAAATCCAACAACCCAACACCGAGGGTGGGAAAAGAAGCAAAAGAAGCTGGCATGCGCCCACTTGTCCATGCAGTTCCCCGAGCTCGGAAACCTGAGCAGGATGAGATGCGTCGGGTGATTGAGGAGCAGCGTCGCAGGCAGTCACCCCAGCTTAACAGTGCAAGAGTCCGGGTCTGGGAGAGGTCGGGTGTCAGAGAGTCTTGCTCTCAGCCAGACGGTCTTCAGCTCTCATCCAGAACAATCCAGAACATTATGATTGATGCTCTGCGGCTTAGGATTAACGAGTTGAAGATGCAGCAAGAGCAGCGACTTGGCAGCTGAGCACACAGAATCACAGCACGCACAGATACGCACACAAAGCTCAGATGATGCGCGGACACGTCAGATTGCTTGTGGACATGCCCGGCAGTTGCAACTGCACGTCCCGAACACTGAGTTCCGCCATGCACTTCTTGATTGTCAGTGTTTTGACCGTATAAATGGAAGACATGCCGTTACTGTGCCCTGTAGCCGTGGCCAGTCGAAGCACACGCAACATAGGATCGCTGTGTTGGGCAGCCATGTTTGGCTGTTCAAAGCAACGCTAGCATGTGAATCACCTCAGTTGGGGCACTTCAGGCTGCAGATTGCCCAGTACACATCCGCACTTCAAAGCCAGCTGCCCTTGGCCCCGCTGCAGCCTAAGCTCTGCTCCTCCAATGTGATCCCGGGTCCCCGCTCGCCCCCCCCCCCCCCAAATGCACTCCACCCATGGTGTCCCTCTCCGCTCCCGCACTAGACCCCAACCCCCCCAACTCAAAACTCTAACCGTTACTCTAATCCGATACCCTAGCGCACCGGGTCTTGGTTAGAGTTTGGATTGTTTGGGGCGTCGCCCCCCGTCCCGCCCTAAGCCCTAAAAAGCTCGACCCTAAACCCCAAACCCTCACCCAAATCCTATACACTGCCTTAACCCCTCAAACCCGCAAACCTACGCAACCTGAAAATAGCCTAGGCAAATCCCACGAAACCTTGAAAACGCTAAAACCCTCAACTCTAAACCCCGCAACCTTAAACCCCCAAACTCCCCCAGCACCTGAAACCCTACAGGCGGGACCACAGGGGGGTGCCGGACCATGGGGCCTGCGACGCTACCCTGTGTCGGGTGTCTAGGGGCACTAGCAAGAAGAACCCTCGCGTCCCCTTTCTGTCCCTCTTCGCCGCTGCTGAGGATACCGTCGATCGTGCCACAGCCAAATCTGCTTCCAAAGCTCGGACCGCTACTCAGCATCCGGCGAGCACACATTTTTTAGCACAGAGCTGACGCAAAAAGGCAGTGTAGCTTGCAGGAACCATGTTCCCGCACGGCTACGAGAAAACGATTCCGCTGTAATTCGACGGCGGAGTGGTCTGGCTCAGTGCAGTCCTGAGTGCGAGAAATTAGTTGTGGATTCCTGTGGATGGCGAAGGACTTTCGAAGCTCTGGTTTTCACGTTGGCACGTTGATATCTTTGGTGATATCTCTCCGGACTTGTGGGGGCTTTTTTAAGTGCTTTCTTCTGCGGTCATGGCCTCGAATCCTGAAGAGCCAACACGTGCCCGACGCCTAGAGGCATAGTACTTGGAGACTCATCAAGTTTGGGTCCAATGTTGGGCCGCACCGCTCTTACCCCACGAAGTATGCCCGAATGAGTAAAATTCCAACTTTGGCCCCGACTCTGGGGGCTGTTGGGTGGGTGCTTAGCATAGTGCTAAAGGCCAACATGCAAAAACCGCCTGATACCACATGTCAGATAAGAGGCTCTGATCAGCCGCACAAGCATCACTACCTTGGCCCAATAATCGCCATCAGGCTGGATCACCTGATCGCGAATCGCAGGCTGGCCCCCTGCGATCGGAATAGACGGAGGGCCGATGGGCCAACAAAGCGGCTTGTAAGGGCCGTTCGGGTTGTGGACGTCTCATGCTACCAGTAGCTGCGCTTTGCCACAGAACTTCTCATGTTCTTGACCGTTGACAGCAGTCCTCTAGATGGTGGGGATGACTTCAAGAGTTAAGAGTTGTGGGCCAGCTGATGATATGTAACAAACTACCTTTTGTTGGGGCCAGTGCTTGATGAGTAAACACCATTTCGTTTCAGGAAGTGTCTCCTCATTAAGCCAATTCCCAAAGCCCTCCACCTGAGCGCATCGCGCAACGTAGATACAAGCTCGCTTGCGTCTGGGCAACGGAGATGCCGCGCATGTCGTTTTGGATTGCAAGCTTCTAAGCATCCACCGGCCCATGACGCGAAATCCTAAGTAAAGTTCACAGTGCATGCAGAGGGTGTTGACTGATTGAGCCATTGAAGAGGCCAGGTTTGGTCGTTTATCGTAGGCGGCAGGTCGCTTCTCAGCACGTTGGAATTGTTAAATATTGGCCTTGCAAAATCATGCTTCGTGCTGCGCCATTACTTGTTCGACATGTGCAGCTGCTTCATTGCCCAGGCTGTGAACTGCCTGCTAGACATGCAAAGGGCGCCATGCGCTGACTATGAGGTTCAACAAGAGCAAGAATGATGATATATAACAGGAAGCGTGTGTGTGGATGATGGTTTTGACTTGACTCCTATATGCCAGACTCGGAGAAGCATTGTGTTGGCGCTCCCCCCCCCCTCCAGCAGAACTTTGCCACCTTGCTCGTTCGCATGTTCACTCCTGTTTGCTTAGGTTGCTACTTCTGCACAGAACTTCTCTATTGGCCCATGTTTTCAACAGCAGAGCATGACAGGCCAAAGGAGGCATCTGGCCGTAGCAGATGTACTTGTCTTCACGCAGGCAACTGCTCGCTGAAGGAGAGTCATCGAAAGGGTGTCTCCATGGTGGAATGCAGCTGGATCTCCTTGCGCACAGGAAGAATACAGCAGCGATCTAGAGAAGAGCAGCTACTTGAAGGTTCATGGTACTTAACTGGGCTTATAACCCTACTGATAATTGGGATAACCCCCATAAGGCCCTTTCGGGGTATTATAAGTAGGGTTATAAGTACAGTTATAATTGGTTGTAGCAAGTACCATGAACCTTCAAGTACCTGTTGCCAGTGCGCGTGGAGTGTTCATCCAATCCCCCACTCAAGCCATGCATTTTGCAGGGCAGGTTCATTTTGACAAACTGAGAGCCCGTGGCATATGTGAGTGTGTAGGCGGACCTGCAAGACATCGCAACTGGAAGTTGACATTCTAAGTTCAGATCTTCAACTTCAGGACCTCTGCCAGGGTGCGATACGTTTGAATGTGGTTTCAACAACTGACGGGCAGCGAGACGGTTGATCCGAGTCTCGGTTGGGGTTCCGGACCATATTCTCAGCTGGAACAGCACCCGAATCTCACGAATTCATCCCGGCTTCCCGGTACACAGCACCCGCCAGCCTCGATTCATGACCTCTCGCTTTCAAGCCGCTGCCAGTTGGGCAGCAAACTGCTGAGGATACACGTTTGGGTCAGCGTGGAGTGTGGCTAATTGGGTTCCATGATGTTCTATGAAGTTCACATAAGTTCACCGAAAAACACGGAAGAGGTTTTTTCGACCAAACCCCTCAGAGTTGTCTTTTGTTTGATCAAGTCGAGGAAAGGGTGGGGGGCTCTATTGAGCTTTTCAAGTGTTAGAGGGGAGGATCGCCATTGATTCTAGAAACAGGCCATACGGGGCAGACTTCAGAATTGCGCCGGGATCTTATAGATCGCGGTCTGTATGAGCAGGAAAAATCTTCTTGTCTCAAGCGCGTGTTTCGTGGAGCTGCATGGACCTTGCGTGAGCGCAGCGGCGATCTTGAGTTACAGATAGGATAGAGG